GGCAAAATTTTTCTCGAAGCTATACCTCCTTACCATGTCGTCCCTAAGCATCGATAGGAGCGAAACCTCCCCGACAAGACGACCCCGATCTCTCACACCGATTATTCCGGCTCCATTTCTCCCCAACCTGAAAATGGCAGCTTTCGCTGCCATCCCCACAACCTGCCCGAGATGGCCCTGCAAACCATAAGTGCCCGGGTTACCCATGTACACACAGCTTCCTCGTGACTTCGCCAAAGAAGCTTGGAATCAAACACCACTCCTAAGTATTTGACCTCCGATTTTCTCTCTACAGCCGCTCCGCACACGTATATTGTTCGCAGATGGTCCAGCTTCCTTCTCCTAGTGTAAGGCACCAGGGCCTTCTTTTTAGGGTTAAGCCTGAGGCCCACAGTATCCCACTAGGCCCGTGCCACCCGTAATCCCCTTTGGACTATATCACAAAGAGTTCCTTCAAACTTACATCTAGCGATGATGACTATATCATCGGCATAAGCCTGGACACCAATTCCCTGACGAAGCAGCTCATCAAGGAGTTCATCCACCACCAAATTCCACATTAGCGGGAACAGAACCCCACCCTGTGAGCATCCCCTGGCCACGCGCATTCTTAGGGAGCTTTGCCCCACAGCAGTCTCTGCTACTCTCGTAGCCAACATATTAGATGTCCATAGAGAGGTGCCATCATCCAAGTCCCTACGCCTCAGGGCTCCCGCAATCGCCTCATGAGAAGTGTTGTCGAAGGCCCCCTCGATATCCAGGAACGCGCATAGCGCCACCTCTCCCTGCTTTATTGTGCTTTGCTTTCTAGGATACTGGAAAAGCGAAACAGAGAGGTCTCTGTCGACCTCCCTGCCCGATACGCATGCTTGCAATCGCTCAGCGGCCTCCTCGCCAGCACCCTTACCCGAACATGGTTATCAATTATTTTCTCCATCGTATTCAATAAGAACGAAGTGAGGCTAATCGGTCTGAATGATTTGGGCACCATGTCCCTTCTTCCCACTTTGGGAATAAAGACAACCCTAGCCACCCGCCAGGACTCGGGAATGTATCCGAGAGCCAAGCTACTCCTAAATATTCTTATTAAGAAAGGTATAGTTGGCTCCAGTCCCCGCTGCAGAAGTGCTGGTGAAATCCCATCCACTCCCGACGCCTTGAAGGGCTGGAAAGTGCCAACAGCCCACCTTATCCTTTCCTCCGTAATTATGCGCGCAGCTCTCCGCTAATCCTCAGGACGTGGTGTCCTGCATTCCCACACCACGGATCCGACATACGGAGTACTGCCAGGGAAATGCGCCTCCAGGATGAGAAGAGCCCTTTGCTCCTCGTTCTCCGTGTAGCCGCCATCCGGCCTCCTTAAAGAAGCAGTCACTGGCACCGTGTCTCTAGCCAGGGCCCTGTGCAGCCTCGCAGCCGCCGACGTCTCCGCTATGCTCCCGCAGAATGATCTAAAGCTTCTGCGCTTAGCCCTGCGGATCTCCTTGCTGTAGGCTGTCAAGTTCATCTTGTGCTCTTCCCAAGTACCTTCTCGCTTAGCTTTATTGAAAAGCCTGCGAACCCCGACCCTCAAGCTTTTAAATCGCGGGATCCACCAAGATGCATCTATTAATAATAGCCTAAGACTGGACTTTAGTAATACACTACACCCAATTTAAAGTACGCATAAAAAGGAATTTAATTTGTTTAAATAAATTTGGGAAAGTTCTCTAGTATTTTAAATTTTTTTTTTTTTTTTTTTTCCTTTGTTCACTCCTAGAAGGAGCATAGGGCTAGTGCATGATTTCTCATGCACTAGTTTCATAGCGTTATAGGGTTTAACTAGGTAGGTGACTAGCCTGCCGTAGTTTTTATTTATATTGAATATTTAAGTTTATTAATATTTACTGTTTATTTTTCTTAGTTTTTTTTAATATCGAATATTAGGAATATTTGAAAATTACTTGTATAATATTTTTATTAGTATTGTATATTAAGTTATAATAATATTGAATATAATTTTTTTATAGTGACCTGACCGGGGTTTGAACCCGAGACCCTTCGGTTAAAGGACCGGTGCCATAACCACTGCACCAATGGTCAGATTTTAAATTAACTTAGCTATAAACAACTGGAGAGCAAATGGGTTACTATGATTGTCCAATTTTGAGAATATTAAAATGATTTTTGGTATCCAAATTTTTTAAAGTAAAATTCCGGAAATTTTAAGGTTACCCTTAATTAAAAAACCTTTGAACAATAACTTTTTTGATAAAAAAATAATTTTTTGTATTAAGAGGAAGCTTTCATGTGGGAATAGCTTAAAATAGTCAATTAATAATATTAGCATATTTTTTAAGTAAATATTTTAATCGCTTCCTATTGTCCATTTGTTACAACAAAGTTTTCAAAAATAAAAATTGCCTTAACTCACTTCTCTTTCCAAACATCTTTAGTGTGCATTATAACTACATTTGTTTGTGTAATGACAACACACGTACGGTCGTGCAAAAACAGGACCTATTAATAAGAAACTAAAATAAAAAATGAAAAAGAAACCAAAAGCCCTATTTTATGCTAAAGCATTCATAAGTAATAAACAATGTTATTTCTATCAACATTCACCTGCATATTTCCAGTTTTTTTTCTTTTAGTATATAACTACTGCAATTTTATAGTTAATAGGTAATATAAATACCGACTCACATACATATGTGAATAATAATGTAAACCAGCAAAAGCAAAAAACATTTACAGAAAAAGATAGCTTGAAAAATAGTACAATGTACAATTCACATACACACATATACATGCATATTTAGCTCCGAGGAAAATTAATTTTTTTACTCTACATTTTACACCATTCTCGTTTATGCTTTATTCGTTAATATTAAATCTATGACTATGAATCTATGGGTTATGTCTAACTATACAAAGGTTGCGAGTGTAACAATAAAATGTTGGTACATGTTATGCTATATGTAATGTGCATATGTATACGTTCCACATAGTAATATTAATAATTTTTACATCAATTCATTGACAAAACGTAAAGAATGCAAGGAAAATAAAAAATTACATGAAAAACAATGAAAAAGAAGTAGCACGCTTTTGCCTCAAGTTTTGTTTTGATCGCTCTATTCACAACATAAATTTGGAGTTTGCGAATTACAATTTTTATATCATACCAGTGTAAGTAAATTGTAAAATTTTCAATGATTTTCTCACTACTCTTGTATATTTTCTCTGAGAATTTTTGGAAAAATATTCTCTCAAAATGTTATAATTCTCATTTTATGATTTTCCTGAGAAAGAATATGGTATTTTGTATATTTAATAAGCTCCATAATATGTATGTATATTATATAGTTATAAATAGAGAGGTATATTCGTGGTGAATTTGTATGATATTAAATGTAATGAAAATGTAACTTAAAATTTGGACAATAAATTGTGTAATTCAAAGTATCGTAATACTGAATGTGCGTTTAATAATGTAAGAAATTTAAAGAAAAATTATGCACTTTAAATTTTACGTACTATTGCATATTTACAGGTGCTTATCGTGTGTTTGTTCAATTTAGAATTTAACAGAATAAAAATTTGTCACTTACTACCTTATATTTGAATGAACCTATGTATATTAAGAATTTTGATTAAGGTATTTTTTACATATGCGGCAAAAACTTCTAATTCTATAATAAGGTTTGATAACTGTTTACATATCAGACTGAACTTATTTGATGGCGCTCGCACTTAACGTCAAAATTTAATAATTTTGCGACGAAAATTATAGCCATAATAAAAGTCAGATCTACATTTAAATAGACATTTTGCTTAAATTTACTAACGAATTCAAAATTTTTTCTCGTTATTGAAAAGTCATTTGCAAATAATTAGGTTGTATTTGCCATTAATTTTAATATGACATTTCCAATTACGGGCTGTATTTTGCATTGTTGCTTTACTACGATATACTAATATTTATTCTAATGTCACACAATATTTTGTGCACTTGCGTATTACATTGATAATGCTTTGTGCAATATTAAATAAAATAGTATACAATTTTTGTATATGTATGTACTTTTCGGAAATTGCATTCTATATAAAATCTCTTCAAGTCGATATTCTCTTTTTACTTTATTACAATTATTTTAATTTACGTTCTTCTACATTTTCTAACCGTGTTCTATTGATATTGAATGTTTAGGTAGCTAATGTGTTGAGGTAAATTTTATTAAAAATGTGAATGGTTTCTTAAATCTTAAATTTTTTTTTACTATTAAGAATGTTTGAATACAAAAAATCATGTACTTGAAATATTCCATGTTCTATTTAACAAACTGAAAAAATTTTTTTTTTTTTTTCACAACAATTTTTTTTTATAATAAATATTTCGTTTTAACTGGTTTCTTCGTTGTCATAACATTCATTCTTTACATTATGTGCACAATACGAAAAAACTATAAGTGTGGTGTGTTTTTCGAGTAAATTATTTTCAACAAAAAAATGTTTTTAACTTGTTTGGTGAAAATTATAATTTTTGTTTTTCTTTTCTTTTCTCATATTTTTTATAAAATTTACCACATTTATATGAAAATATTTACCATTATTTAATATGTTTAATATAAAATGTAATTTCAGTTCTATGAGGACTTTAGTTATGTTCGGACTATCGCCGGGTTCAGTTCTTATTTAAGCTTGAATTAAATAAAATAATATAAAAATAATTTAATATACACATATACATGTAAAAATCGGTATAAATTATAATATTATTATAAAAGTTTTATAAAACATATGAGTGGTGTATATAACAATTATAAATATATTAGTATGTACATATATATACATACGTGAATGACAAGAAAATATTGAAGCTGTTTGTATCTTGAAAAATTTTATTCTTCTTAATTTTATTTAAGTTTTTGTTTTTTGCTTTAATAATAGAAAACAACTATTATTAAGAGTGTTTTATAGAAGAACAATAAAATTAAAAACTAAACTAAAGAGATTAAGTTCTTTCAAAATAAATTTATGATATAAACAAGTACAATTGTATGGTTAAACTTGATTTTGTTTTAATTATTAATAATCGAAAGTTAGATAGTCATCAATTGCTGTATTATTAATAATATTGCATATTTAAATTATTTTAATATCAAAGATTATTATTAAATAAAAGGAATTTCGGAGTTTCTTGAAAAGTTTAACTAAAAGTTGAAGCATATTCAAGTGGTGTGGTTAAAATAACAGTAATTAATTACCGAATGCAAAGTGTGTTGTATAAAACTAAAATATATAGATAGTTGTTTTACTGCATACATGTACATTTGTGTAATATCAATTGAAAATTTACAAACAGAGCATAATTATAATATTAATATTTAAAAGTTTGAATATAATAAATACATTAAGAATATCTTGGAAAATAATAAAGTTTAACATTTTAACAAAATTTATTTTAATTAAATTAAATTTAATATAATGAATTATAAAACATATTGTTTGTTTTTGTGCTAATATTAATATAAAAGTTGCATTTGGAAATGAAAATATTTGCAAAATTAATAATTAGCAGCAATTAACTAAAAATATAGTGTTGAAATCAAATTAACACTTTTTATTTGTATAAAAAATTTGAAGTGTAAAAAAAGAGAATTAATGGAAAATTTCAATTAAAATTAAAAGCATATTATTCTACCATTAAAAGTATTTTGTGTTAACAAAGCAGTAACAGCAGCAGCAGCAGTACTTTAACCTAGAAAATATAATATTTTACATTTATGAAAATTATTCACCTGTGTTAAATATTATTGAATATTTCAATTTATAATATTTATAATTAATTTGTTTCGTGTTTGCGAATTTATAGAGTTGCTTTTAATATAAAATCAAAGAAAACAAAAATACTTAATAATTTCATAAACTGTTCATTGCATTATACCACACTTTTAATATTTATCCATGTAGTATAGCTTATGCAAGTTGAAGTTATTTTGCATATTTAGTTACCATTGAACAGAAAAATAAAAAAGTTGAGTGAAAAAAAAGAGTTAATAAATAAGTAAATAAAAGAATAAATTTTTTGTTTTTTTTTTTTTTTTTTGGTTTTTGTTTCTGTTTTGGTGTAAACAGTAACGGTATATTTTTTCTAGTTTAATATAGAGAGAAACACAAGCATAAATGAATAGTTAAGAAATAAGTAAGCATAACCTATAAAAGAAAAAAACATTTGAAAAATCTTCAACTCCTCGACAATAATTATTTTACCTAACATTCGCACCGCTAACGTTAGATTTGGATTTTGGTCACAGAGGTTGGTATAAATTTTGTTACAGAGAATATTTTTGTTTAAATTTTTGTTTTTATATAAGTACCTAGCTATTTACTTTTATTAGTTTATTTATTATGTACATGATATTTGCATATACTTAATTAAGAGAAAATATTTTAATAAAATTAATTCATTATAGTGTACTTGAAAATGAATAATTGTTGTTTTACATTAAGTATGTGATAATTTTACCATTTTTTGATGAATTTCAGCCCCAGAAATATAAAATAGCGCAAATTTTTTTTTCAAAATCTTAAATGTACTTAGTTACTCTTACTAATAAATATAAATTTTATGTGGAAAATTATTGTTTTATGAATAATTGAAAAGTGGTTAGATTAAAATAATTATAAATTTAATACCTGGAAATTAAATTTGAGTATTGATAATTGAAATTAGAAAGAATAATTTGAAAATTCCAACAAGCTGTATTCCGAATATCTGAAACACTAATTGAAATGTTCGTACTGTAAATAGTATAATATATCTTTCATTATTTGTGGTTCACTCGTTATGAACTATTTACGTGATCATGATTGAAGACGACTTGACAGAGCATGGCATCCGCCACTGGTTGGAGCATCGACCACCAGTTACCCCAGTGTGCATCTGGTTGTGTCCCGGGGATTCAGCCTGGGGTGGGTTTATTAGAAGTAGTAAAAATATGATTCGTATTAGAAAAAGAGGTATAGAATATGACCACAATTTTAAGCTACTCGTATGTTAGTGAAATTATTATTATGGATGGGAATGTTATATTTAATTTTATGTATGCATATGTATGTAAAATTCCTTTTGATCTTGAAATCAAATTTAGTTTTTCGAATAAAAAAATGTTAAGTGCCACGACCTAGTCCACTAAATTTTTAAAGTAAATACTAGACAATTTTGAAATTTCTCGGTTTCATACTTGAAAAGCTGGTATAAATGATCAGGAACTTTACAAAATGAAGGTTTATGTAGTGATTGCTAAAATTTATTTTGACGATTCAAATTTGCTGAGTTAATTAGATTTTTTTTTGTAATTATTGAATAATTGATTCGACTTAGGTTCGTTTTAATTATTCATTTCATTTAAATTTCAAATTAATTTTAGTACGGTCTATCTTCTAAATGTAATGTTTAGGAATTTTCCCAGATTCCTGAAAATCTCTTAATAAACTCTAATTGTTATTCAAAATCTCCTAATAATAACAACACCTGGGACAAATAACTACTAAATTAATGAGTAATTATAAGCTCTTATAAAATATTGATGGCTTCAAATGCCATTATATTCCAACTTTTTATTACAACGTTATGCTTAACAAGTAAGATACTTAATGTTTTTGCTTTTCAAAAAAATTATAAAACTGATTAAGCATTTTAACTTGATTTCTGAATAAAATTATGTTTAAAATTCTCTTCAGTTAAATAATCCGAATAAAAAAAGTGAAGTAATTATGTTAATTAGTTTTTTTTTGTTCTCAAAATTAATTTTATATGCGTATACATTATATCTTCCTCATTAATATTAATTTTGAAATTTATAACATAATTTTTTTGTGATATCAAATTGTATATTTTATGAAGATGTTTTAGCTATTCTCCATTTACATTTGATATCATTTATAAATTTAAATAATTAAATGTCTATATGTAGTAGCTATAATGGCAATTAAATCGGCTCAGGAATATTTTAATATTTTTTGAATATTCATGAAAAGAAATATTGGAAATTCGGATTCTTTTAAAATATTTAAAAAAAAAAAAACAAAATTTTTGGTTTTCAAATATTACAAATTACCATATTACCAAAACAAATTTGTTTGACCTTCGCAAGTAGAAAGAATTTCATAGATTTTGAAATTTATTGGAAATAATTATTCTGCAAAATTAAAATTTTTAAATTCCTTATTACTTTTAAAACTCTAAATTGTTAATTTTCTGAATTGCAGCAAATTTTTCCGTGGTTTTAATTAAAATTTTTTGTTTTTTTGCTTTGCCAAGATGTGTCAATAAAATTTATAATTCAGGAATTGTTATTAATGATAACAAATGTGCATATATTAAAGATTTTTGGCTCTTTGATCAGATCTTATGATTGATTTTAAAGGGGTTGCTGATGAAATGTGGAGAAATGTATAATTAAATCAAAATTATTAGAAATTTATTAGAAAAATAAATTTGCTGTAAATTAAATTTAAAATTTTTTTTAAAATTAATGCAATATCTGATATCAGTGAGATTTTCCGCGTGCAACAGATGTCATACAAAGTTTGTGTTCATTTTTTTCACTTAGAATATTTCAGAAACTAAGGCAACAGAGAAAGATGTGCTTTATTTGACGTGAAAATCAGAAAGACTGCAGAAACTGAATATTTTTAAACAGTGCTTTTGCAGTATTTGTCAGCAAATTTGAATTTTCTTTTTTCAATGCTTCTTTAAAAATTACTTAAAATTTTAAAATAAAAATTTAAAATATTTCATATATTCTGTAATTTTTTTTCTCTTTTCAAATGATAATTTAAAAAAAAAGTAAACTGACTATCAATACAACTTTGCATAACTTTCAAAAGGAAAAAAAAAATTCATAAAATTTTCATAAATAACACAAAGTCAAAATTATTTGAATAAAATATCCTTTGAAACAAAAGTTTTTTTTTTTGCGTCAAACAAACTTTCTTTCAACAAATCTTTTGAAAATAGTACAAAACTACCTATGGTCTATAAATATACGAACAGCATTCATAATTTTCTTCTGATTCTGCAATAAAAAACTACCATTTTCGTTACTCTACGTACATTTTTTTTGTTTTATTACAATGTTTTAAATATTCATAAAGGTAAGAAAATTTATTTTTGATGGTAAAAAAAAAGGGAAAATTCAATATAAAAAAAGTAGTAAATTTTTTTGTTTTCTACTGAATTCTTAATATTTTTCCATCTACTTTGTGTTTATTCAGTGAATTGATATTGACGTAATAAATAAAGTGTACGTAACATTAGGAATGAATTGAAATAAATGAAAACATTATTGGTTTTTTCCTTTGTTTTTGTGTTTTCTAAACAATTTTCTTTTTATTGCTATCATCGCAATATTCGAATGTAGTTTGCCAATAGTAAAAACTAATTTTTATGTTGCTATTAGATACGTTTTTTGCAAAATATCTTAAACGAAAAGAAGAAATTATTCAAAATTTTTGTTAATTAAAGCTTGTGTTTGGTATCAGACACAAAAAAGGCAATAAAGCGTTAAAGAGTTTTCATTTTGTTGCAACAATTGGATAACACTGTGCAACATAAAAAGTTGAGTGGTATATTATGACTCGGTTCAATTGTAATAAAGTTCTATTAAAAAAAAGTGTGGATATTTAATTTGCTATAACTACTAATAAATGAAGTTAATTATTACTTTGAAATATGAAAAATGAAATAAAAACAATTTCCATAAGAGTTAATTGTGATGGCATTGAAACGTGAATTGAAAATTGTATAGGTTTGCAATTGAAAAATTAAATATTTTTGAGAAAAATATTTAATATTTTTCTCTATGTCAAGAATATTTCTGTGGAATATTACAAAAGCTCAAAATCTCTAAAATTAGTATATCATTTTTCGGTAAAGCAGTGGTGTAGTCTTGAATAGATATAGAATTGTGTTAACATTATTTAATCAATAAGAGTTTACATGCTAGGCATCCAATGCTTTAACATAATAGAATTCCATTATCGACTAAGTATTATTTAAAAATTTTGGCGGAAAATTATTGATGGTTTTTCTAGTTTTTTTATTTAACAAGGTTTTGTTACGTTCCTTATATTCATATATTTTTAGGAGATACTAAGCAGTCGAGCAGTTGTAGTATTCTTTGTGTTTTGGCAAAGGAGGTGCAAGAAATTGATCCTCACAAGGTGCTTGAATTTATTGAAAATATCTTGGAAAGTGCCTTAAGCGCCATGTCTGCACTTCCTTTGAGAGCACAATAGATCCAAGTAGTGTTGGGTCGAGATGCATTGTCACCTTGTTCTTGCGATCTACAATCTACAACCATACATCATAAATTGTGTATGTTCGGGCGCCACTTTATTTTAGTTTTCTAACTAAAACTTTTAAGCTTATGTTTAAATATAAATGATAAATTTCAAATAATTTTACACCGATCATAAATCTTTGTTTTTTTTCTAGCAGAATAATAAATGAAAAACGTCACTATTATTATAATTTTTAGACAATTGTTTTTCTTTTAAACGAAATTTCACACTTAAATGCTTGTTTTGTTAATGTAAGGTCATCGTTTTTTTGTTTTGTTATTTTGTTTAGTTTTTACATAAGGTTGTACTTACGCGAACAAAATATAGAGGGAAGAAAAACGAAAATCATTCTGAAAAAAAAAAATTAAAAATTAAAAAGGTGCATAAATAATTTTTTGTATTCGAAGGAAATCCAACCGAACGGAAAATAAAATTGAATAATTTTTTTTCATTTTAACTATTTTTAATATTTTGTTTGCTGTTTTTAACATTTTGTCTTAATCAGAGACTTTCATTTTATTACTTATATAGTTATGAGTATGTATACAATTTATGTTTAACAACTTTTACTATTGTAATTGTAGACACGGAGAGTAGATATTTAATTTTGATCAAAAAAAAAGAAATTTTTACAAAATTATTTTAAATAAATCATAAAATTTAGTGTTTGTTGTCATATAATCGACTATTAAAGTCAGGTTTGCTATTTGAAAAAGTAGAAGCGGTAAACACACCAGTTTTTCTTTCATTTATTTTCTCAAGCAAAATAATTAAATGACAGTGGTAAATTTTTGAATTTTCCCAGTTTTCCTTTTTGTTGTTTTGTTTTTTTAAGAGAAAGGCGTAAATTATTTTATCGTAGTTACGATAACAATTTTTTTTTATTTATTGTTATTCAATTATAAAATTTTTATAGCGTTTTAGCAGAATTTATAAATATTTTGCACTTTTAATTGACTTTGTTTTATT